GTTAGGATAAATTAAGTAATAATAATCAGTTAAATTTTAAGTAAAATATTCATGTTTTTACATATGTACTGTTCTTTTCTGGAATAAGGGCAGTGCTTAAATCTATCAGCCACTCTCATCTCTGTAATGTCTACCCAGATGTCTTATAAACATTACAAATTTCCTGGTAAAATTGCCTCTCTCCCATCTCCTTGTGGAAAAGTAATACAATCCAGATTGTCCTTTGATTGAGTTCTGGGGTAGGGGCCAAGTGACATAGGAATGATTAATCAAAGAGGCAGCAGATAGTCAGCTGTGAAATCTCTCCAGTCTCATGTCTGTCTCATCCTTATTCATAGAATTATTAATTATTTACTTATTCACTCTTAGATCCCCGAGTTCTTATTCTCCAGGGTATATTTTGGTTTTTCCATCTGAATTTACATGACCAAATAGTAAGGCAAATTATTCAGTAACTGCATGAAATAAATGTAAATTTGTATTTATTTACTTATTTTGTAAAAGTGCCCCTCAAATTAATAGAACATGTGTTTTATGATCATACACATATTGCTATATGCTTACAATTTACTGCTGAAAGCCAAAAATCTTAGATGCTCTTTGTATTTTTTTATAAAAATAATTTTTACAGAGCAGATCACTGAAGAGGCACCATCTAGGATTCAGTTTATAGCTCAGATTTGTGGATGGCTCGCCAGTGGGTCGACTTTCAGTGGAAAAAAAAAAATTGTGAGTTCAGCTTCTTTTATTATAAAGGTTTTAAATTACATTACCCATCTATCTGACTGGAAAGAAGACAGCTCTCATATGACACCCACCTTTTGAATGTAGCTTATGAAATATGAAAGTTATGAAGAATATGAAGTGTGTTTTGGAACCTCCGGTGCTCACATTGTTCACATTGAGTGGAGATGCGAAACCACTGAACAGTGCAGTGCTGTCACTTTAGTATGCGTATTTATGGTTCTGCATGCTTTGAGAAAGCAAATATTATGCTTTTAGAAACTTTAGGAATCCACTTCTCCATCCTTCTGCTTCATAATGACTTTAAGCAGCTCTTCCCAATCCTGCACTTTGAGTGCACTGGTATTGCCCATGTGCCTCATTCGTACACGCCCATGTCCTGTTACTAAGCTACTTTGAGTGTTTTGGAAAATACTGGCCGTTTTGTCAAGGGCTGGAGCTTGCGAAATTAAAATGAATCAGTTAACATGCGGTAATGTTGTGCATGATATCAGCTGCACTTTCACCACTGGTCAGTTATGCGAATTGTTTTCCAATGATAAACATTACGTCTGCTTTTAAGTCAGCACCTATTATACTGAATGCAGGTCCTCGTTCATGAATTGAGATTATGTAGTAATCAGTGATTTCTGTGAACAGCCCAATGTATTTTTTTTTGTACAGTTTTTCAGTTGCAGAGATGTAAACAGTCTTTTAGAGTGGTTTGATGTGAAATGGCTCATTGTAGAGGAAATTGCATACTTTGATTTATTTATTATGAGACATCATAATCTCTATGCAAATATAGCCGTTTTTGTTTCCGTTTTTAAATGACCAGTAATCCTATGTGTAGGCTTTAATATGTATTGTTGATAATGCTAAAATAGTGTTAAATCTGAAAAAAATGTGTTTTGGGAGAGGCCCGTTTTGACCTACGGTGGCCTGCAAGTACCTCTCCACCCTGACTGGGTTTTAATATAATACATTTACATGCCTAGTAAAACCCACACAAGAGAGAATGTCTGCTTTTTTACCAGCCACTTTGTGTTCCGGGACTTCTCCCTGACCAATTGACATTCCATACCAGTCCTCACTGTTAAAAGTCATTTACAGTGTAAGCGCTGATGCTAAAACAGACCAGTATTTTTTTTTATTTCTGTTGATCCGCCACAAAGAGATTATGTAAGCCGCACTGTCCCACCCTGATTACTTCAACAAAACCAGACAGTGACCTCAGCAAGCAGGGTTGTTTGTTCAGAAAATGAATTAACTTTCACACTTGTTTATTAATTAGTTCATGCACAGTGGCAAGAAAAAGTATGTGAACCCTTTGGAATGATCTAATTTACAGCAGTAATTGTTCAGACAATGTGACGTTATACATCCCAAGTGTAGACAAACACTGCAGTAAACCTAATAACACATCTTTCAGATCTTTATTGTACACACCAATGAAACATTCACAGTGCTGGTGGAAAAAGTAAGAACTCTTGGATTTAACAACTGATCAAACCTCCTTTGGCAGCAAAAAATTCCAAGCAAGTGCTTCTGCTACCTGCGGATCAGACTGGCAGCTCAACCATATTCTTCGAATGTCTGGTGTGAGCCGTTGTTTTGAGGTCATTCCGCATTCCCCAGCTCTTTTGAGGTCATTCCTATTTTGGCTACGTTCTGGGTTCTGACTGCACTGCTCCAAAGGGTGGGTTTTGTTTTCATGAAGCTGTTCTCTGGTAGATTTACTGTGGCTCATTGGGCCTCAAGAAAAAAGAAATTTTGGCTTTCAAGAAATGTCCCACTTGTGCAGTTTTTAACAAGATCCTGAGATTCACCAGTGTTTTCTTATTTGGGATTTGTACTAAGAACAGCATCTACACACACTCAAGAGCGCAAAGGTGCAAGCAGTTCTGCGGTTTAAGAACACGCATGAATCTGACGTAGAATTTTTCTTACGAGCTTTCTCAAGAACACATTTAAGAAGAAACTTAGGAAAATATTGGTGAATGAGGTCCAGTGTCCTGCTGCTTCACCTTCTATAGAACTTTTTACGATAATGGTTATCGTTCTAGGGCTAGAGGCAGCAAAGAAGCCCCAAATCATGATGCTTTCTCCACCATACTTCACCATTGGGATTGTGTTTCATGTTGGTATGCAGTGCTCTTTTTACACCATAAGTAGCACTGTGTGTTCTTCGAAACAGTTTAACCTTGTTTTGTTAACTGATGAAACTATTTTCCCAGTAATATTTTGGAGTGTCAGGACAAGACAAACTGCAGGCGTATAGCAGTGTTTTCCTCTGTGGTGTCCTGCCATGGACACCATGCTGCCTGTTCAATGTTGTCTAGATGGTAGACTCATGAGCAGAGATGTGAACCAAGTTGTGAGCCTCAGCTGTTACTGTAGGGTTCTTTTTACTCTGTTGAGCGTTCTGCATTGTGCCTTTGAAGTAATCTTGGCTGGTACCCACTTCTGAGAAGAGCAGACAACAGTCCTAAGTCGTCTCCATTTATAGACGGTTTGTCTGACTGTAGACTGATAAACACACAAACTCTTTCAGATGACTTTGTAACCTTTTCAGTTTATGCAAATCAGCAGTTATTGATCATAGGTCTTTCTGCAGGCTCTTTTTGTGAAGCATGGTTCACATCAGCAGAAACTTCTTGGGAATATCAAACTGTTTGAGTGGTTTTTGTAAGTCAAAGTAGCTCTAACTTCAGTCCTCTGATCTCATTTCATTGATTGGTCTCCAGGTTTGCTAACTCCTGACTCCAGTTAGCTTTTGGTGAAGTCATTAGGGGTTCAAACACTTTTTTACACCAACACTGAAGGTTTAAACAATTTTCAAATCCCCTGAAGGGATGTGGTGTATTTTTTATGGTAAAAATCTGGTGCACACCAGATACTATAAAGTGAGCACAGCATACTATCAGGTGAGCACCAGATACTGTGTGGTGAGTGCTCAACATTACCAGGTGAGCACTGAATGCTATGTGGCAAGCACCCTATTGTATGTAGTTATTATACTATGTGGTGAGCACTCGATACTGTCAGGTGAGCACCAGATATCAAAAAAAATCTATCACGTCTATATTTGGTGCTGACCTGATAGTATCAAGTGTTGACCTGATAGTATCAAGTGCTAACCACGTAGTATCTGTTGCTGACCTGATAGTATCAGGTGCTCACCACATAGTATCAGGTGCTTATCACATAGTATCTGGTGCTCACCACATAGTATCAGGTGCTGACCTGATAGTATCAGGTGCTTACCACATAGTATCTGGTGCTTATCACTTAGTATCTGGTGCTGACCTGATAGTATCTGGTGCTCACCACATAGTATTAGGCGCTTATCACATAGTATCTGGTGCTCACCACATAGTATCAGGTGCTCACCACATAATTTAAGACGTCTTTGTACATAAATGCAAGTAATTCCAAAGGGTTTACATGCCTTTTTTGCCACTGTATTTGGGCTTTTTGCAAAGCAGGATGTTGCTCAGATTGAAACCCTTTTTTTCTCCGTAGCTGCTCAGTAGCATATGTGAACTACCCAAGATCACCCACTACCCAGCCCAAACACACACTAGGCCCATTGTAAACAGTTAAGAATCACAATGACTCTAGAGTTGCTCAAAGAAGGCCCTCAGGTGAAGCTCTCAGTGGGCTCTAGTGCAGGCATGTCAAACTGGGGACGTTCCAGGACAAAGTGCTGTGGAGATTAGCATTTACCCTCATCTAACACACTGAATTCAGTTCATGAAGATCTTGCTAATTAGCTGATAATCTGAACCAGTTGTGTTTGAGAAGACAGTGTGCTGCACAGTGTTTTGGCCCACAAGGCCTGGAGCCTGACACATGCTTTAGTGTGACATGCCTTTTTGGAATCCCCATGCAAAAGCAAGTCCCACCCCAGAAGATGGCGTCATTCTAACCCCCACATTTTATTAGGGCTTTATGACTCATTTGCTTATGGACTATGTAGCCTCTTCAGCTACACCTCAATATCCCAGCCAGACACTTCTGGCCAGTTGGTTGGATTGTTTATGCAAACAAGTTGCGAAAACATGCACTTCCTACTGTTTGTGTTTTTTTGATTTCTTTCTACCCCTTTATTTGCTTCTTGTCACTGTGTTTGTCATGCCTTGGTAATTTCCCAGTCATAACATTTATTTCTGGTAAGTATAAATATTATGCCTGCCTATCATGCTTGTTCTGTCTGTGTGATTTTTGGAGTCGCATCAACTGACTGGTCTTTCTTTATTCTCTTTCCATTACAGTTGGGGAGAAGAGTTCAACCTGTCAAAACATCCGCAGGTCAGTGGCACCATTGTTTTCCCTTACTCTTCTTTTAACAACACTCTGTAAGCATTGAGGAACTGAGGTGACCAATTGTTTTTAAAGGGAAATGTTTTCTCGTTCTTGTTTGATATAGGTTTTCATCTGTTCAACAGTTCGGGGTCACCTTGGTCGCATTTTGCAATTCATAATGCACCAAATGTTTTTTAGTGGGTGACCGGTCTGGACTGCAGGCAGGCCAGTTTAGCGCCCGGACTCTTTTAATACGGAGCAATGCTGTTGTAATACATGCAGAATGTGGTTTGACATTGTCTTGCTGAAGTAAGCAAAGCCTTCCCTGAAAAAGACGTTGTCTGGATGGCAGCATATGTTGCTAAAACGTGTATATCGTTCAACATTAGTGGGGCCTTCACAGATGTGCACATCAACCATGCCATGTGCACTAAGGCAGCCCTATCCCATCATGAATACTGGCTTTTGAACTGTGCACTCATAACAAGCTGAGTGGTCATTAGCCCAGAGAACACAGTAACCGTGATTTCCAAAAAGAATTTTAAATGTTGATTCGTCGGACCACCGGGCACTTTTTCACTTCACCTCAGTCCATCTTACAGGAGCTCAGACCCAGAGAAGGTGGCAGCATTTCTGGATCCTGTTTATTTATGATTTCTTCTTTGCGTTTTAGAGTTTTATCTAGCATTTGTGGATGCAGCGACGAACTGTTTTCACAGACAGCGGTTTTCGGAAGTGTTTGAGCCCATGCAGTGATTTCCTCTACAGAATCCTGTCTGTTTTTAATGCAGTGCCGTCTGAGGGCCCAAAGATCATGGCCAGCAAATACTGTTTTTTGGGCCTTGTCCCTTACATACAGAGATTTCTCCAGATTCTTTGAATCTTTTAATGTTATTATGTATTTGCTATCCGGTGTCGACCAGAGGTGGATGGGTTCCCTTTTTGAGTCTTGGTTCCTCTCAAGGTTTCTTCCTCTTGCTCTTAGGGAGTTTTTCCTTGCCACTGTCGCCATTGGCGATGCTCATGGGGGTTGGACTCAGATTTTTCTATAAAGCTGCTTTGTGACAATGCCTGTTGTAAAAAGCGCTATATAAATAAACTTTGACTTGACTTGACTTGACTTGACACATACCATAGATGAGGAAAAGCAAAAGTTCTTTGCTATTTTATGTTGAGAAATGTTCTTCTTGAATTGTTGCACTATTCGCTCATGCAGTCTTTCACAGAATGGTGAACCCCTCCTCATCTTTACTTCTGAAAGACTCAGCCTCTCTGTGATGCTCTTTTTATACGCAATCATGTTACTGACCTGTTGCCAATCAACCACCAGGTGTTTTAGCATTACACAACTTTACCAGCCTTTTGTTGCCTCCCGTCCCAACATTTTTTGGCATCAAATTCAAAATGGGCATATATTAAAAAAAAAAAATTCTCAGTTTCAACATTTGCTATGTTGTCTTTGTAGTATTTTCAATTAAATATAGGATTTAAATGATTTGCACATCATTGCATTTTGTTTTTGTTTACATTTTGCACAGTGTCCCAACTTTTTTGGAAATGGGGTTGTAATTTATCACTTTTCATTTCATCATTCTGATTTCCTGCAGCTTTATCAAACATCTCATATTACATCTGTATCATACAGCTGTTGTGCTGGTCTTCTTTTATCAGTAGTCAGTGTTTGACGACAGGTCCACTGTTGGCTGGATGTTTTAGTTAATGGAAAATTCTCACCTTAGCAGTGACCCTGACCTAAGTGCACCTATATGGTAGGTGTTTCTGATAAAATGGCCAAGGACTATAAGAATTTAATGTGTTTCTGTTGTTTTGTGCACAGCCTGTATTTATTTATTTACTTTAATCTGTTTTACATTCATCAGGCATTCCTATAAACCAGTATAATAGACAGCGCATTACAGTCAATGAATATACAGGCCTAAGCTGTGAATAAAAACAGTCTGTTCTCCTTTTCAGGGCACAGAGGTGAAAGCTATCACCTATTCAGCCATGCAGATCCGCGACGACCAAAAGCCAGAGATCTTGGTCATCATTGACATCTGAGCTACGATCAGAGACGTATTTGCACTCTTGCTAATTTACAGGAGCTTATAATTATGATGATATGACTGTTGACTGTAACTTTGCATGCTTTAAAATGATCAACACTGATTAAGGAGACCCTGGTGGAAGCGATTCTCTGTAATGTTTCTTTTTAATTTTTCCAGACTGTGTTTGGAGGATTATTTTAAACCCTCAAACAGGAACTGCTGAAACTTTCCAGCAGGAATAAATATTGACTTGGCACTGACTTGAATAAAAAAAACCTGGCTCTCATTGCTGATCAAGTTTTTGGGGGGTACATCAGGAACCTACCTTCCTGCTCAAATGCAGCTCCAGGTTGACTTCTTTGTAAAAGGACACAGTGGTTTAAAGGGAAGTTTACTCAAAGCAACATATGCTGGAAAAAAAATCGTAGAACTCTGTGAGATTATTTGGATTTGGAAGTTGTAATAATAAAAGACTCTTATTTAACAAACAGCGCAAACATTTTAGTTTGATGTCCAAATGGTTTAAACAAGTCATCGAAGTAAGATGTGAATGCTTACATTTAGTCACTAATGGTGCATTTTTTACTGGCGTCTGAATAGAATGTTATGGTATTTTGGCCCATTCTTATTTTAAGTTTACTTTTGGGATGACTTGCTTGATTTGTTTTGATCATGCTACAGTTCAGACTTGGGACAGGAAGTCTAATTTTTGTGCTTTCCTCCTTAAACAACTAAACTGCAAGGAAAAAAAAGAAGAAATTAACGCCTGCATTGCTCAGGCAGGTCCAGCTGGGCATAGCGGTGGGGGTTTGGTGAATGCAGATGTGAACAAAAATTAGGTGCCTTCAGATGCTTAGCAGAAACAGTAATATCAGATGCTTATTCAACTGCTCAGCTCTATTCAACAAGGCTGCCACTTCAGACCTGTAAAACACCACTCTATTATTCACTTTTTTATTATTATTATTATTAAATTTGCAGATGTGCTCACAGTGTAGTCAGATACTGCTGTTACATTATGCTGCAGCGATCAGTGGAATGTTCTGTCAATTTTCCCAACTTCTGCTGTCGATGGCGGTGGTGGAATAAACCAGGTGGTTATATTTTTGAGAGCCATGAATGTAGAGCATCTAGTCGAGGTGCATGGAGTCTTATAAACAAAAATTAAGAGTGCAGAGCATCTTCCTGTCTTTTCCCTCTGTAAATAAGCAGTCCACACTGCCAAAGCTGCTCTGATAAGCATCCATTTCTGCCAATGATGCTGTCACCATGGCGATGTTTGCATGACTATGCATGACTACCGCCATGAGGCACAGACTGATGTTTTTTTCAGTGCCAACATGGAAACGTGGCACAAAGTAGATAAATGTCAGCTAGAGATCCTAAAGAAGATGCCTCTCCAAAAGAGACCATCTGAAATTCCAGTCTGGGTTGTGCTGGAGATCTTCAAAAGCTCTTACCGCACCTGAAACAACTGGAGGGCGAGTGAGGGCAATGAACTAGTGCTGTTTGATGTCATTGAGCACGTTTCCATTTCACTGGATTTGCGCAGTGGGATCGCTCTGCACATCTGTGTCGTCTCTTCAAGGTAACTTGCACAATTTAGTGAGGAAAAGTATACTCAGCACAGGAAAAAGAATCACTGCACTATATTTTTCAAAAAAATAATTAAGATGGCTTGACTTCATTATCACTTCTCATTTTCATGGGACTCAGTTTTTAAGCTAGAGCTATGAAAATTTGCATTATCATATAGCTCATACTAAAATAGTGTTTGTGCTGCTCACATTGACAGTTTTTGTACAGCATTTGTTCAAACACGTTTTTTTTTTTCACATACGATATGAATAGTGGGATGAGTCTAATGCTGCATTCACGTGTTTGTGGTAGACGAACAACAGAAAACCGGATTTTCAAAAGAGCTGTGATGGAAAATTCTTCCACCACAAGTGGCAACTTTCTAAAGTCCGCAGTGCTAAGCAGAAAGCTACGTCAAGAGTTCAGCTTTTGCCGCTGGGCTTAACGGTGGAATAAAACATTGTTCCAGTAGTGTTGTGGACAAATGTGATCATTTTAGCACACTTGAGATAGGAAACCATGTTTATTTTGAAAAACAGTGGTTTCCTGCTTTCCTCATCTAACAGTTAAACTGCAGGGAATAAAAAAGAATGCCTGGTCAAGTAGGTTTTGGTGGGTGCAATAATGAGTGTTTTTCTGTGCATGCTTGTGTAATGTTCTTATGGGACTGAACACATTTAGTTTTTGGACAGCATTTGTTTAAACACAGTTTTTTTCAATAGGTAATGAATGGTGGATTAACCCAATCAGGATTTTGCGTCATAAATCACACCTTGTCTTCTCAGCTTTATAACTCAGGAATGCTTTACCGCAGCAGTTCACTACGCACATCCTCAGAAACTGCGGAGTCTCCCGCTTCTAAAAACAGCGGCCCCATCGCGGTCCGACGAAGCGTCTGTGAGTAATCCACTGTGGAAAAACAGTCACATAGACGCTCCTTCACAGTTTCTGTTTTATTCTTCTAGTAAATCTCAGTTTCTGTGCTGATAAACTCTGCATTTCGCTTTATTTCCACTACTATTATTTATTATAGGGCTTCTGAAATGTTTACACGGTGTTTCAGATCTAATATCTGATTAGTTGAGTCAGTATTATCGACCGAAAACGCCTCTTCAGCGCCTCTCAGCGCCTCCGCCGATTAGCCGCTCTGAAGCTCCAGGCGCGTCTTTCACTGCCCTCCGCTAAAAAACCGCTCTTTCGCTCCGCTCCTCGCGCTCTGATTACTGCGTGCGCGCGCATCTCACTTTATTTCCACTACTATTGTTTATTATAGGGCTTCTGAAATGTTTACACGGTGTTTCAGATCTAATATCTGATTAGATGAGTCAGTATCATCGACCGAAAACGCCTCTCAGCGCCTCCGCCGATTAGCCGCTCTGAAGCTACGCGCGGCTCGGCAGTGTTCCTGCTGTGTTTGTGCGCGTGTTTCCTAGCAACGGCGCGTCGGTCACGTGACGCGCATCTAGAACAGAAAAGCTGCGCGCGCACCTTCCGAGTCTTCTGGCGTCTGTCCAACCCCGCTGGACTGATCCAAATTTCAGGTTTATATTACGGTACAGACTCTTTATTGTGTGTTTTCTAGATAAACTAGTGTTTATCTGATCATTTCTGGAAGGATTCTTTATTATAGGAGTCATTGTTATTATAAGCAGCTGATAATAAACACCCAGTGTACTAAAACAGTGTTGTATTAGCTGGAATATTAGCCATATTGGCCCTGAACAAAAAACCCAAAGGCTTGACCTGCTGTGTCAGCCTGTCACATGCAGTTTTAGCAATCTGCATGTCTCCTTTAGGTGAGAATATCAAGAAAAATAAGTCCGCCTGATGCTAATCACATACTATTTCACAGTAATAAGCCATATAATGAACAATCATCAAAATTCTTATATTTTCAGCTCATAGACACTTTATCCTAAAACTTTCTCATTGACATTTAAGAGGTGCAGTGATGTTTTGAATAGATACAGTCAAAAATACGTAAAAAAAAACAGGCGCTTGGTAAATTTTTGATCAAAACATGTCCAGTTTCATAAAAATATCAAACTTCTGTGGGCATTTACAACTCAGGTGATTACATATTTGAGAAGCCACATGTCTTCTGAAAATAAAACAACATATAACATGTGGCTGTCTCATATAATTACTAGAGTTACAACAGCTGAAAGAGGAACTGACAAAAACGGGGGGAAAAAAACACCTAATAGTGCTAGGGCTCTAAGGGTTAAGTATAATGCTGCATTCACATCTTTACGTGCAGAGCTGTTCTTGACCTCCCTAGGGACCTAAGCAGAATTCAGTAAAGGAGCCTTTCTGCCTGACCCATGAGCCATGGAAACCATTTTGCTGCTGCATGAACTAAACTAATCAAATTCATTCAAACTGGCTCCCACAGATTGCCTTTCATACATTTTCAAATATAAATACTATTTATACTATGGCTTGGCTGAATACCTGATGGTTGTTATTTACTGGGAGATGTGGGTCCATTTGCCCTGTATGCCCAGCCAGTCAACACTGTAAATTCAACATTTAATCACTGGTCAGTGTCCATCCATCGCTTTCCATTTTGCATTAATCCAGAGTTGTAACTATAAACCTTGACTGAGAGACAAGACTATAGTCGTTACCATGGTGAATGGTGGAACGTTGAGTCTAACGGGGTGCTCACGTTTGCCTTATATGGACGACAGCAAACTGGATATTCCATTGTTGTCAACCGAGCTGATTTTTTGGAGAGCCATAGTCATCAAATGCCTTTTTGTTGAATTCCAGGCAAATCCGGTATTAAACAACAAAAATAAAAGAGCACTCCTGACTTTTTTGCCACCTTAAATAAACAATATACTCTGATAAATTTCTCCTCTTTTGACCATCCATTGTTGCTGGCACTGCAGGATATGTTAACGCAGCATAACTGCTAGAAACGATAACACTGCCCCTCATAAACATTACGTACAGGTTCACATGCATACTGACACAGATATGCACACAGATATTAGCAACTGCCTGGGATTCCATAGGAATGGCCTCACAACACTTTAGTGACCATCTGGGATACCATAGCAACGGCCTAGCAAAACCTTAGCTACCGCATGGGATACCATAGCAGTGGCCTAGCAACACCTTAGCAACCACCTGGGGTACCATAGCAAGGGTCTAGCAATACCTGACCAACCACCTGATGTACCATAGCAATGGCCTAGCAACACTTTACCAACCAGTTGGGATACCACAGCAACATCTTAGCTACACCTTATCAGCCACCTGGGATACCACAGTAACAGCCTAGCAACACCTTATCAACAACCTCGGGTACCACGGTAACAGCCTAGCAACACCTTATCAGCCACCTGGCTTATATCAAGCCAACTTAAGTCGTTCACAAACTTTCCTTTTTAAGTTAGTCTTTGACCATTACATTGCTACTTATGTGCTTGACTGCATGGTTTACTTTATTTGATCAAGCCATTAGACACACATAAATGTGACAGTGGTGGAAAATGCCTGAAGCAGTGATACTCAATTAACTATGGAGATAAAGTTTGATTTAATATTTCTGCAGTAAGCAATCCAGCAACAAACGTTTAACAAGTTGTCTAGGCCTGTGTTGTTGTACAAGATCACATCTGGCCCCACAAGACTAGTGACAATGTTACCATGTCTAACAAAGATATCGGGCCCAAAAGTCTGCCTAAAGCCTATCAC